TTTGAGGCACCGCAGCATCAGCAGGGTCATCCTCACTTTGTGCCACGATGTTTTCCTGGCTGAGGGATTTTCCCTCCCCCAGGACCTCACAGAAATGCTCAGCAAATCTGCGAACCTGTTCCTGGGGGTCGGAAATTGGATCACCGTTTTTTCCCCTAATGATGGTAATAGGTGTGGCGCTGCAGGTTACTTTTTTGATGGAGTTAAATAGCGATTTGTGATCACGGGCCACTGAGGCAGACTCCATCTCCTCAGCAACCCGCGACCACCACCCATCCTTGCAGCGCCTCACGGCTCTCCGAACCTCCGAGCGAAGGCTGCGGTAAGCCTCCTCATTCTCTGACGTGGGATTCTGTAGCCGATGACAGTGGGCCTGTCGCTTTTTCTCAACCATCCTGAACAACTCCTCTGTCATCCAGGGTGTCTGGGGAGGTCTGGACCGCGTACCCAAAGCAGCCATTGCAGCTGCATGAGTCACAGTCCTAAACCTCGCCCATTTACCCTCGACATCAGGAGGAGTCGGGGACGATGCCAATCCCAGCCGCAAGCGATGATGAAATTCTCGCTTGCAACTTTCATCAGATAACTGAGACCAGGCCACTTTAGGTTGGAATGGGGTCCTGGGTGTACACCCACCACCGGAGTGGAAGAATGGCAGGCGCATCTTACAGATGACTAGTCGATGGTCAGAGGGCAGATCAGCTCCACGGTAGGTCCTGGTGTCAAGGACATGGGCTCGCATTCGCTGGTCCGTCACTATGTAGTCCAGCAGATGTTCTTGCTTGGACCCGGCATGCATCCATGATGTTGTGTGGATGCGCCGATGCCGGAACAGCGTGTTGGTAATTACAAGCCCATGGGCTGCACAAAAATCTAGCAGCCTCCTACCGTTGTTATTGAGCTGATCTGGCCCATGCCCTCCAATCACTCCAGACCAGGTGCCAGTATCATGACCAACTCGGGCATTGAAGTCACCCAACATGATGACTCTATCCCGAGGGGCCACTTTAGCCAGCACCTGTGACAGGAGGTCATAGAAGGCATCTGACTCATCGGCTTTGCCTGCATCCCTCCACGGATGTTCATCTTCGGTGGGGGCATAAGTAACCACGACCACCATTCCTCGCCTCCGGTTGATGGGAAGGCGAGCCCAAAGTAGCCTGGGGCTTACAGCTTCCCACACCTCACCGCCACGCTCCCACGCCCCCTTCATTCTTTTGTTCAAAAGAAGACCCACACCCTGTTGTTTGGCAGTCTGCTGCCCCGAGTAGAGGACTGTCCACCCCTCATGGTGGCAGGAGCCAGAGCCGGTCCACCGGACCTCCTGAATGCCGCATAGATCCAGGCGGTACCGGTCCAGCTCCCGACAGAGGAGTGGCAGCCTCTCCTCTGCAGTGAGCGTTCGAACATTCCACGTGGCCACCCGTAGTGGCTTTTCGTTGTTTCTGGAGTAGCCCCGAGGGTAGGTATTCAATCTCCTGGCTCCGCCAATTGGGGTTTGGCCAGGAGACGTCATAGACGCCTGGCCCCCCGGGGCCTCCGGCACAAGCTTAGTTGTTACATATTTCACTTTAATTCGTGGTTTTGTGGTAATTAATTGAAGGTGGAGGGGTTACCAGCCCCTCGCACCCGTCCAGAGCCCCCGTTTAGCCCCTGTGGTGGACACATATGCCATGAGGGGAGGAGCCAATCAAAATTGGAACTCCCCCCACAGCACTGTCCACGACAGAGTTGCCCGTCCGGCACCGCGAGGAGGTAGGGGGTTGTTTTGCCGGACACAGAGACACACCCACAGAGACACACCCACAGAGACATACCCACAGAGACACACCCACAGAGACACAACAACAACAACCGCCATTCGCCACTAAGTGGCGGTGACGTCACCACGACGCTTGTGCCAGGCTATGTGCACCCTGAGGCCACGTGAAGTGTCGAACGCCCACTGGCAGGAGATCACGGGGCAGACCCACGTGCCACGGGTCGACTGACTGAGATGATTGGCTGGTGCACCACCTGTGCCCCTACTGTGCCAACCTGCTGTGCTTTAGCCACCCGGCGCTCCGCTTGTTGTTGTGAGCGTTGCTCCTCCGCCCTCCGTTGTTGTTGGAGGGCGACTACCTCCAACTGCTCAGTAGCGTCCTTCACGAGCCTCCTCCACAGAGGCTAATCTTGACACCGCTGGTACCAGTCATCGGCAAGTCCACTCAGCTCCACGTCCTCCTGTACCACATCACTCCATTTCTTCTCTAGCCCGTGCCACGCCCGCTTAGCCCCCTCAATCCGGCCGAACAAAAGCTGTTTCGGCATGCGATGGCTGGGCATGCGGGCTACATGACCCAGCCATCGCAGCCTTCCCCGCCGGAGGAGCTCACCGATGGGACCTTGCCCAGATCTTTCAAGGATTTGTGAGCTCCTCACACAATCCAGTCTGGTTAAACCCAGGATGGATCGTAGGCAGGCCAGCCTAAATGTTTCTAACCAGCGAAGATGTTTCATTAAGGGGGTCAACATTTCGCAAGCGTAGAGAAGGGAGGGAATGACCGTGGCCGAGAAGACCTGAAGCTTAGTGCGGAGCGACAGACCAGGTAGCTTCCACACAGCATTACGCAACCGATGAAAAGATATTGCCGCTCGACTGATTCGGAGTGAGACCTCTGCTGTTAAACTGGAGCCAGTCATAAGCACACTGCCCAGGTATGGGAAACTCTCCACTCTCTCCACAACTGCCCCATCACCGATTGGGAGTTGTGGGGGTGGTGTGTCCGATGGTACAAAATACACAGGCAGGTGCTTAGTTTTGGTGGGGCTGATGGTAAGGCCCCACCTCTTAGTGGCACGCTCCAGTCTCAGCAGCAGCGTCTCCAACTCCTCCTCTGAATGAGCAGCTATTACCAAATCATCAGCATACCTAACGTGGTTGAGCAATAGGGAGCCATCCCTTGACCGCACCCGGGCATCGATCAGCCTCCCATTATATCTGTACCATATGGAGATTCCCCCGGTACAGCTTTTGAAGGCTTCACGAACTATGTGGTCAAAATAGATGTTAAATAATGTGGGAGCCAGAGGACATCCCTGTCGCATCCCAAAGTGTACAGGGAATGGCTCTGACTCCCGGCCACGTAGTTTTACCCGGGCCCGCTCACCATCATGAAGGTCCTTAATGATCGTGAGCAGAGGGTCAGGTACTCAAAAAGCACGAAGAACAACCCAGAGCCCAGGCCTACTGATGGTATCATAGGCCTTGACCAGGTCAATAAAGCAGAGATGTAGGTCTTGTTGGAATTCCCTACACCTCTGCTGTAGCAGACGGACAGAGAATATGGCATCTGTGCAGGACCGCCCTTTCCTGAAACCGCATTGGGGCTCCGCAAGCCTCTCCTCAGCGTGCCTGGCAAGGCGATGCCAAATAATCCTTGCCAGGACCTTTCCCGGCACACTGAGGAGTGAGATGCCCCTGTAGTTGTTACAGTCTGTGCGGTCCCCCTTCTTAAAAAAAAGGGGGACCACCAGGGCATCCTTCCAATCCTGCGGAACCCGTCCAGTGGTCCAGACCGTTGTTATGATGTCATATAGGGCAGTCTGTGCACAAACGCCACCCTCCCTCAGCATTTCGCTTGGGAGATCATCTCTGCCCGCTGCCTTTCCTGGTCTCAGACTCCGGATCGCCTTCAGTACTTCCTCAACAGATGGCACCTCAGCCAGCCACTCACAGGGGGTGACTTCTTCCAATATTTGAGGCACCGCAGCCTCAGCAGGGTCATCCTCACTTTGTGCCACGATGTTTTTCTGGCTGAGGGATTTCCCCTTCCCCAAGATCTCACGGAAATGCTCAGGAAACCTGCAAACCTGTTCCTGGGGATCCGAGATCGGATCACCGTTCTTTCTCTTAAGAATGGTGATTGGTGTGGTGCTGCCAGTAACTTTTTTGATGGCATTGAAGAGTGATTTGTGTTCGTGGGCTACTGAGGCAGATTCCATCTCCTCAGCAACCCGCAACCAGCACTTATCCTTGCAGCGCCGCACGGTTCTGTGAACCTCCGAGCGAAGGCTGTGGTAAGCGTCATTCTCTGACGTGGGATGCTGTAGACGTTGTGAGTGGGCCTGTGGTACTACTGATGTACGTAGTACTACTGCTGATGTACGTAGTACTACTGCTGATGTACGTAGTACTACTACTGATGTACATAGTACTACTACTGATGTACGTAGTAGTACTACTGATGTACATAGTACTACTACTGATGTACATAGTACTAATACTGATGTCCGTAGTACTACTACTGATGTACGTAGTAGTACTACTGATGTACATAGTACTACTACTGATGTACGTAGTACTACTACTGATGTATGTAGTACTACTACTGATGTACGTAGTACTACTACTGATGTACGTAGTACTACTACTGCGCTCTTGTTTCAACAACTGGATGTGTTTGACGAACGCCGGACTGATGCAGTCTTTAGACCAGTTCTCCGGCAAACGCTGAATTACACGGCAACTTTTCGCTGGATGGCACTTCGTATTTTCAGTTTTTATACCTGTTATTGATCATGAAAATGTTATATATGTATGTGCAGTATTTCATTTTTTTATTTATTGTATGTAGTGTGCAATGTACTGTTTATTTTTAACACTGAAATCAAGCAAAGCTGCTCTGTCACAGCCTTTGGGGCGTTTGTTTGGTTTCGCCGGATCGATCCAGGACCGCCAGATAATGTTGGAAGCCGGATAATCGATAATCAACTTTACACAGAGAGAGCTACACAGAGATCCACACAGAGATACACAGAGACACAGAGAGATACACAGAGATACACACACCCCCTTGTTCCCATGTCTCATCTCCCCATGTCTCTCTATATTAGTCTGTCTCCCCGCGTCTATCCTGTGTCTCTCCCCATGCCTCTCCCTGTTTCCCTGTGTCTCTCTATATCTCTCTCTGCCAGTGTCTCTCCCTGTCTCCCCCTGTCTCTCCGTGTCTATCTCTCTGTTTCTCTGTGTCTCTTATCTCGCCATGTGTCTCTCTGTGTCCCAGGTGTCTCTCTCAAGGCGTCCGGTCCCATTTGTCCCGACTGTGGGAAGCGTTTCGCCAACAACTGGAACCTAAAGGCTCACAGCAAGACTCACACGGGTGGGAGAGAGCTATACATAGAGAGAGAGATGCATAGAGTGAGAGACTTACATCGAGAGTGAGAGTTGGAGCGATATATACATGGAGATGTACATTCATAGAGAGTGAGAGAGAGTGAGAGAGATTTACATAGAGCTGTACATGCAGAGAGAGAGCGTGAGTGAGAGTGTGAGAGATATGTACATACAGAGAGAGAGAGTGGGAGAGAGGGAGGAGGAGCAGGAGACACAAAGATGGCGAGAGACATGAGGAGGAGGAGGAGGAAGTGTCACTTCCTCTCCCTCCACATCTCCCTCTCTCTTACACTCTCTTACACTCTCTCCATCTCTCCATCTCCCTCCCTCCACTCTCCCTCCATCTCTCTTTCATCCCCCACTCTCCCCTCCATCTCCCTCCCTCCACTCTCCCCTCCATCTCTCTTTCATCCCCCACTCTCCCCTCCATCTCTCTTTCATCCTCCACTCTCCCTCCATCTCTCTTTCATCCCCCACTCTCCCCTCCATCTCTCTTTCATCCCCCGCTCTCCCCTCCATCTCTCTTTCATCCCCCACTCTCCCCTCCATCTCTCTTTCATCCCCCACTCTCCCCTCCATCTCCCTCCCTCCACTCTCCCCTCCATCTCTCTTTCATCCCCCACTCTCCCCTCCATCTCTCTTTCATCCTCCACTCTCCCCTCCATCTCTCTTTCATCCTCCACTCTCCCTCCATCTCTCTTTCATCCCCCACTCTCCCCTCCATCTCTCTTTCATCCCCCACTCTCCCCTCCATCTCTCTTTCATCCCCCACTCTCCCCTCCATCTCTATTTCATCCCCCACTCTCCCCTCCATCTCTCTTTCATCCTCCACTCTCCCCCTCCATCTCTCTTTCATCCCCCACTCTCCCCTCCATCTCTCTTTCATCCCCCACTCTCCCCTCCATCTCTCTTTCATCCCCCACTCTCCCCTCCATCTCTCTTTCATCCCCCACTCTCCCCTCCATCTCTCTTTCATCCCCCACTCTCCCCTCCATCTCCCTCCCTCCACTCTCCCCTCCATCTCTCTTTCATCCTCCACTCTCCCCTCCATCTCTCTTTCATCCCCCACTCTCTCCCTCCATCTCCCTCCCGCCCACTCTCCCTCCATCTCTCTTCATCCCCCACTCTCCCCTCCATCTCCCTCCCTCCACTCTCCCCTCCATCCTCTTTCATCCTCCACTCTCCCATCCATCTCTCTTTCATCCCCCCACTCTCGTCACCCTCCATCTCTCTTTCATCCCCCACTCTCCCCTCCATCTCTCTTCATCCCCACTCTCCCCTCCATCTCTCTTTCACAATCCCCACTCTCCCTCCATCTCTCTTTCATCCCCACTCTCCCTCCTTTCATCCCCCACTCTCCCCTCCATCTCTCTTTCATCCCCCTCTCCCATCCTCTCTCTTCATCCCTCCCCACTCGCCCCTCCATCTCTCTTTCATCCTCCACTCTCCCTCCATCTCTCTTTCATCCCCCACTCTCCCTCCTCCATCTCTCTTTCATCCCCCACTCTCCCCTCCATCTCTCTTATCATCCCCCACTCTCCCCTCCATCTCTCTTTCATCCTCCACTCTCCCCTCCATCTCCCTCCCTCCACTCTCCCCTCCATCTCTCTTTCATCCCCCACTCTCCCCTCCATCTCTCTTTCATCCCCCACTCTCACCCTCCTCTCTCTTCATCCCCCACTCTCCCCTCCATCTCTCTTTCATCCCCCACTCTCCCCTCCATCTCTCTTTCATCCCCCACTCCTCCTCCATCTCTCTTTCATCCTCCCTCTCCCCTCCATCTCTCTTCATCCCCCACTCTCCCCTCCATCTCTCTTTCATCCCTCCCTCTCCCCTCCATCTCTCTTTCATCCTCCACTCTCACCTCCATATCCTCCCTTTCCATCTCCCTCCTCCACTCTCCCCTCCATCTCTCTTTCATCCTCCACTCTACCTCGCATCTCTCTTTCATCCCCCACTCTTCCCCTCCATCTCTCTTCATCCCCCACTCTCCCCTCCATCTCTCTTTCATCCCTCCACTCTCCCTCCATCTCTCTTTCATCCTCCACTCTCCCCTCCATCTCTCTTTCATCCCTCCACTCTCCTCCCTCCATCTCTCTTTCATCCCCCACTCTCCCCTCCATCTCTCTTTCATCCCTCCACTCTCCCCTCCATCTCTCTTTCATCCTCCACTCTCCCTCCATCTCTCTTTCATCCCCCACTCTCCCCTCCATCTCTCTTTCATCCCCCACTCTCCCCTCCATCTCTCTTTCATCCCCCACTCTCCCCTCCATCTCTCTTTCATCCCCCACTCTCCCCTCCATCTCTCTTTCATCCTCCACTCTCCCCCTCCATCTCTCTTTCATCCCCCACTCTCCCCTCCATCTCTCTTTCATCCCCCACTCTCCCCTCCATCTCTCTTTCATCCCCCACTCTCCCCTCCATCTCTCTTTCATCCCCCACTCTCCCCTCCATCTCTCTTTCATCCCCCACTCTCCCCTCCATCTCCCTCCCTCCACTCTCCCCTCCATCTCTCTTTCATCCTCCACTCTCCCCTCCATCTCTCTTTCATCCCCCACTCTCCCCTCCATCTCCCTCCCTCCACTCTCCCTCCATCTCTCTTTCATCCCCCACTCTCCCCTCCATCTCCCTCCCTCCACTCTCCCCTCCATCTCTCTTTCATCCCCCACTCTCCCCTCCATCTCTCTTTCATCCCCCACTCTCCCCTCCATCTCTCTTTCATCCCCCACTCTCCCTCCATCTCCCTCCTCCACTCTCCCCTCCATCTCTCTTTCATCCCCCACTCTCCCCTCCATCTCTCTTTCATCCTCCACTCTCCCTCCATCTCTCTTTCATCCCCCACTCTCCCTCCATCTCTCTTTCATCCCCCACTCTCCCCTCCATCTCTCTTTCATCCCCCACTCTCCCCTCCATCTCTCTTTCATCCTCCACTCTCCCCTCCATCTCTCTTTCATCCTCCACTCTCCCCTCCATCTCTCTTTCATCCCCCACTCTCCCCTCCATCTCTCTTTCATCCCCCACTCTCCCCTCCATCTCTCTTTCATCCCCCACTCTCCCCTCCATCTCCCTCCCTCCACTCTCCCCTCCATCTCTCTTTCATCCCCCACTCTCCCCTCCATCTCTCTTTCATCCCCCACTCTCCCCTCCATCTCTCTTTCATCCCCCCACTCTCCCCTCCATCTCTCTTTCATCCCCCACTCTCCCCTCCATCTCTCTTTCATCCTCCACTCTCCCCTCCATCTCTCTTTCATCCTCCACTCTCCCTCCATCTCTCTTTCATCCCCCACTCTCCCCTCCATCTCTCTTTCATCCCCCACTCTCCCCTCCATCTCTCTTCATCCCCCACTCTCCCCTCCATCTCTCTTTCATCCCCCACTCTCCCTCCATCTCTCTTTCATCCTCCACTCTCCCCCTCCATCTCTCTTTCATCCCCCACTCTCCCCTCCATCTCTCTTTCATCCCCCACTCTCCCCTCCATCTCTCTTTCATCCCCCACTCTCCCCTCCATCTCTCTTTCATCCCCCACTCTCCCCTCCATCTCTCTTTCATCCCCCACTCTCCCCTCCATCTCCCTCCCTCCACTCTCCCCTCCATCTCTCTTTCATCCTCCACTCTCCCCTCCATCTCTCTTTCATCCCCCACTCTCCCCTCCATCTCCCTCCCTCCACTCTCCCTCCATCTCTCTTTCATCCCCCACTCTCCCCTCCATCTCCCTCCCTCCACTCTCCCCTCCATCTCTCTTTCATCCCCCACTCTCCCCTCCATCTCTCTTTCATCCCCCACTCTCCCCTCCATCTCTCTTTCATCCCCCACTCTCCCCTCCATCTCCCTCCCTCCACTCTCCCCTCCATCTCTCTTTCATCCCCCACTCTCCCCTCCATCTCTCTTTCATCCTCCACTCTCCCTCCATCTCTCTTTCATCCCCCACTCTCCCTCCATCTCTCTTTCATCCCCCACTCTCCCCTCCATCTCTCTTTCATCCCCCACTCTCCCCTCCATCTCTCTTTCATCCCCCACTCTCCCCTCCATCTCTCTTTCATCCCCCACTCTCCCTCCATCTCTCTTTCATCCCCCACTCTCCCTCCATCTCTCTTTCATCCCCCACCCTCCCCTCCATCTCTCTTCATCCCCCACTCTCCCCTCCATCTCTCTTTCATCCCCCACTCTCCCCTCCATCTCTCTTTCATCCTCCACTCTCCCTCCATCTCCCTCCCTCCACTCTCCCCTCCATCTCTCTTTCATCCCCCACTCTCCCCTCCATCTCTCTTTCATCCCCCACTCTCTCTCCATCTCTCTTTCATCCCCCACTCTCCCCTCCATCTCCCTTTCATCTTCCACTCTCCCTTCATCTCTCTTTCATCCCCCACTCTCCCCTCCATCTCTCTTTCATCCCCCACTCTCCCCTCCATCTCTCTTTCATCCCCCACTCTCCCCTCCATCTCCCTCCCTCCACTCTCCCCTCCATCTCTCTTTCATCCCCCACTCTCCCCTCCATCTCTCTTTCATCCCCCACTCTCCCCTCCATCTCCCTCCCTCCACTCTCCCCTCCATCTCTCTTTCATCCCCCACTCTCCCCTCCATCTCTCTTTCATCCCCCACTCTCCCCTCCATCTCCCTCCCTCCACTCTCCCCTCCATCTCTCTTTCATCCCCCACTCTCCCCTCCATCTCTCTTTCATCCCCCACTCTCTCTCCATCTCTCTTTCATCCTCCACTCTCCCCTCCATCTCTCTTTCATCCCCCACTCTCCCCTCCATCTCTCTTTCATCCTCCACTCTCCCCTCCATCTCTCTTTCATCCTCCACTCTCCCCTCCATCTCTCTTTCATCCCCCACTCTCCCCTCCATCTCTCTTTCATCCCCCACTCTCCCCTCCATCTCTCTTTCATCCCCCACTCTCCCCTCCATCTCTCTTTCATCCTCCACTCTCCCCTCCATCTCCCTCCGCTCTCCCCTCCATCTCTCTTTCATCCCCCACTCTCCCCTCCATCTCCCTCCCTCCACTCCCCCCTCCATCTCTCTTTCATCCCCCACTCTCCCCTCCATCTCCCTCCGCTCTCCCTTCCATCTCTCTTTCATCCCCCACTCTCCCCTCCATCTCTCTTTCATCCCCCACTCTCCCCTCCATCTCCCTCCCCCCACTCCCCCCTCCCTCTCTCTTTCATCCCCCACTCTCCCCTCCATCTCTCTTTCATCCCCCACTCTCCCCTCCATCTCCCTCCCTCCACTCCCCCCTCCATCTCTCTTTCATCCCCCACTCTCCCCTCCATCTCTCTTTCATCCTCCACTCTCCCCTCCATCTCTCTTTCATCCCCCACTCTCCCCTCCATCTCTCTTTCATCCCCCACTCTCCCCTCCATCTCCCTCCCCCCACTCCCCCCTCCATCTCTCTTTCATCCCCCACCCTCCCCTCCATCTCTCTTTCATCCCCCACTCTCCCCTCCATCTCTCTTTCATCCCCCACTCTCCCTCCATCTCTCTTTCATCCTCCACTCTCCCCTCCATCTCTCTTTCATCCCCCACTCTCCCCTCCATCTCTCTTTCATCCCCCACTCTCCCCTCCATCTCTCTTTCATCCTCCACTCTCCCTCCATCTCCCTCCCTCCACTCTCCCCTCCATCTCTCTTTCATCCCCCACTCTCCCCTCCATCTCTCTTTCATCCCCCACTCTCTCTCCATCTCTCTTTCATCCCCCACTCTCCCCTCCATCTCCCTTTCATCTTCCACTCTCCCTCCATCTCCCTCCCTCCGCTCTCCCCTCCATCTCTCTTTCATCCCCCACTCTCCCCTCCATCTCTCTTTCATCCCCCACTCTCTCTCCATCTCTCTTTCATCCTCCACTCTCCCCTCCATCTCTCTTTCATCCCCCACTCTCCCCTCCATCTCTCTTTCATCCCCCACTCTCCCCTCCATCTCTCTTTCATCCCCCACTCTCCCCTCCATCTCCCTCCCCCCACTCCCCCCTCCATCTCTCTTTCATCCCCCGCTCTCCCCTCCATCTCCCTCCCCCCACTCTCCCCTCCATCTCCCTCCCTCCACTCCCCCCTCCATCTCTCTTTCATCCCCCACTCTCCCCTCCATCTCCCTCCCCCCACTCCCCCCTCCATCTCTCTTTCATCCCCCACCCTCCCCTCCATCTCTCTTTCATCCCCCACTCTCCCTCCATCTCTCTTTCATCCCCCACTCTCCCCTCTCTCTTCATCCCCCACTCTCCCCTCCATCTCTCTTTCATCCCCCACTCTCCCCTCCATCTCTCTTTCATCCTCCACTCTCCCTCCATCTCCCTCCCTCCACTCTCCCCTCCATCTCTCTTTCATCCCCCACTCTCTCTCCATCTCTCTTTCATCCCCCACTCTCCCCTCCATCTCCCTTTCATCCCCCACTCTCCCCTCCATCTCTCTTTCATCCCCCACTCTCCCCTCCATCTCCCTCCCTCCACTCTCCCTCCATCTCTCTTTCATCCCCCACTCTCTCCTCCATCTCTCTTTCATCCCCCGCTCTCCCCTCCATCTCCCTCCACTCTCCCCTCCATCTCTCTTTCATCCCCCGCTCTCTCTCCCTGCCCCCCACACCCCCACCACCGCCCCCCCCCCCCCCCCCAGACGTGCGTGACCGCCACGCCTGCCCGCTGTGCCCCAAGGACTTCAGCAACAGCTGGAACCTGGCCCAGCACGTGCGGGCGCACGCCGCCAAGCCCGTGCACGGCTGCGCGCGTTGCGGCAAGGCGTTTGCGCTGCGCTCGGCGCTGCGCAAGCACGAGGCGACGCACAGCGGGGCGCGGCCGCACGTCTGCGTGGACTGCGGCAAGGCGTTCGCGCAGCCGTCGCACCTGCGGGAGCACCGAATGATCCACACGGGCGCCTGGCCCTACGCCTGCGCCGAGTGCGGCCGCGGCTTCTCCCACCCGTCGACGCTGCGCACGCACGCGCGCACCCACACGGGCGAGCGGCCGCACGCCTGCGCCGAGTGCGGCAAGCGCTTCCTGCAGTCGTCCCACCTGCGGGACCACGAGCGCACGCACAGCGGGGAGCGCCCCTACGCGTGCCCGCGGTGCGGCCGCGGCTTCGCGCAGGCCTCCCACCTGCGGGAGCACGGCAGGGTGCACGGAGACGTCGGGGAAGGGGGCGGGGGCGGCCCGGGGGGCCCTCGGGGCCCGCGCGGGGGGGCCCGGGGCCCCCACGTTTGCGCCGTGTGCGGCCGGGCCTTCCCCAAGCGCCAGCGGCTGGAGCGGCACTGCCTCACGGCGCACGCCGGGGAGGGGGGGGGAGCGGCGGCGGCCGCCGCCGCCGCCGGTTACCGCCGGCACCGCGGCGGCGTTGGCGGCGTCGGCGTTGGCTACGGCGGCGTCGGCGGCGTTGGCTACGGCGGCGGCGGCGGCGGCTACGGCGGCGGTTACGGCGGCAGTGGTTACGGCGGTGGCTACGGCGGCGAGGGTGGCGGCGAGGGTGGTGATGGTGGTGATGGTGGTGATGGTGGTGGTGATGGTGGTGGTGATGGTGGTGATGGTGGTGATGGTGGTGATGGTGGTGATGGTGGTGACGAAGGCGGTGGCGAGAGTGGTGGGGGTGACGGCGGTGGTGGTTACGTTGGCGATTACGGTGGCGGAGATGGTGGTGGTGCTGATGATGACGGCGGTGGCAAATATGACGATGCTGATGGCGGTGGTGGTGATGGTGATAATGGCGGTGATGGTGGCGATGGCAGTGAAGGTGGCGATGGTGATTTGGAGGCAGCCGCAAGAGTGACGGAGACAGGGGAGTGAAGCCCCAATCAATAGTCCCATAGACCGGTAAACCCATAGAGTTCGGTAGGCCCATAGAGACCGGTAAACCCATCGAGACTGGTAGACCCATAGACCAGTAGACCCATAGACCAGTAGACGCGTAGACCGGCAGATGCGTAGACTGGAATATCGGTAGACCGGTAGACACGTAGACCGGTAGACCATTAGACACTTAGACCGTTAGACACGTAGACACGTAGACCGGTAGACCGGTAGATCGGTAGACCGGTAGACTGGTAGACCGGTAGACCGGTAGACTGGTAGATCGGTAGACACATAGACCGGTAGACCGGTAGACACATAGACCGGTAGACCGGTAGACACGTAGACCGGTAGACCGGTAGACCGGTAGACACGTAGACACGTAGACCGGTAGACCGGTAGACTGGTAGACCGGTAGACACGTAGACACATAGACCGGTAGACCGGTAGACACATAGACCGGTAGACCGGTAGACACGTAGACCGGTAGACACGTAGACCGGTAGACCGGTAGACCGGTAGACCGGTAGACCGGTAGACCGGTAGACACGTAGACACGTAGACTGGTAGACTGGTAGACACGTAGACACGTAGACTGGTAGACTGGTAGACACGTAGACACGTAGACTGGTAGACTGGTAGACACGTAGACCGGTAGACACGTAGACCGGTAGACTGGTAGACACGTAGACGGTAGACCGGTAGACTGGTAGACCGGTAGACCGGTAGACTGGTAGACTGGTAGACTGGTAGACACGTAGACCGGTAGACTGGTCGACCAGAATTCACCTTTAAATCTGCGTCACTCCACGTGAATAGCGAAGTATTCTTCATGCATCCCATCAGCTTCACGGCCTTCTGGGCATTGTTATCTCGGCAGCGTTGGTTCAGCGCAGGAAAATTTCCATGCCAGGGTTTTTGGCTTGCAGTGTCTGAACCGCCACTGCCAGTGAACTGCTGCCCAGGTGTGATCGGCAAGGGGTCCCTCTCTGTGAGATATGGGACCCGGTTAACGTGCACAGCACAGCTCCACATCGTTACCCCTGCCACAACGGTAGTGGTGGGGTAAAGTGTGGATACCTTCCACCCCCCTGCCCCCCTCTTGTCCCTACGACGTCTAGTCTGGTCAGCATGGAAGAGTCGTGTTCAGTGTTAGTCGCTGGGGCTCCCGCAGGGTTCAGTGTTAATCACTGAGGCCCACAGTCAGGTTTAGGTTCCCATAGGGTTCAGTGTTAATCACTGAGGCCCACAGAGCCAGGTTAAGGCTCCCATAGGGTTCAGTGTTAATCACTGAGGTCCACAAAGCCAGGTTAAGGCTCCCATAGGGTTCAGTGTTAATCACTGAGGCCCACAGAGCCAGGATAAGGCTCCCATAGGGTTCAGTGTTAATCACTGAGGCCCACAGAGCCAGGTTAAGGTTCCCGCAGGGTTCAGTGTTAATCACTGAGGCCCACAGAGCCAGGATAAGGCTCCCATAGGGTTCAGTGTTAATCACTGAGGCCCACAGCCAGGTTAAGGTTCCCGCAGGGTTCAGTGTTAATCACTGAGGCCCACAGAGTCAGGTTAAGGTTCCCATAGGGTTCAGTGTTAATCACTGAGGCCCACAGAGTCGGGTTAAGGTTCCCATAGGGTTCAGTGTTAATCACTGAGGCCCACAGAGTCAGGATAAGGCTCCTCTAGGGTTCAGTGTTAATCACTGCGGCCCACAGAGCCAGGTTAAGGTTCCCATAGGGTTCAGTGTTAATCACTGAGGCCCACAGAGTCAGGTTAAGGTTCCCATAGGGTTCAGTGTTAATCACTGAGGCCCACAGAGTCAGGATAAGGCTCCCATAGGGTTCAGTGTTAATCACTGAGGCCCACAGAGTCAGGATAAGGCTCCCATAGGGTTCAGTGTTAATCACTGAGGCCCACAGAGCCAGGTTAAGGCTCCCGCAGGGTTCAGTGTTAATCACTGAGGCCCACAGAGTCAGGATAAGGCTCCCATAGGGTTCAGTGTTAATCACTGAGGCCCACAGAGCCAGGATAAGGCTCCCATAGGGTTCAGTGTTAATCACTGAGGTCCACAAAGCCAGGTTAAGGCTCCCATAGGGTTCAGTGTTAATCACTGAGGCCCACAGAGTCAGGTTAAGGTTCCCATAGGGTTCAGTGTTAATCACTGAGGCCCACAGAGTCAGGATAAGGCTCCCATAGGGTTCAGTGTTAATCACTGAGGCCCACAGAGCCAGGATAAGGCTCCCATAGGGTTCAGTGTTAATCACTGAGGCCCACAGAGTCAGGATAAGGCTCCCATAGGGTTCAGTGTTAATCACTGAGGCCCACAGAGCCAGGATAAGGTTCCCATAGGGTTCAGTGTTAATCACTGAGGCCCACAGAGTCAGGATAAGGCTCCCATAGGGTTCAGTGTTAATCACTGAGGCCCACAGAGCCAGGATAAGGCTCCCATAGGGTTCAGTGTTAATCACTGAGGCCCACAGAGCCAGGTTAAGGCCCCCGCAGGGTTCAGTGTTAATCACTGAGGCCCACAGAGCCAGGATAAGGCTCCCATAGGGTTCAGTATTAATCACTGAGGTCCACAAAGCCAGGTTAAGGCTCCCATAGGGTTCAGTGTTAATCACTGAGGCCCACAGAGCCAGGTTAAGGTTCCCATAGGGTTCAGTGTTAATCACTGAGGCCCACAGAGCCAGGTTAAGGCTCCCATAGGGTTCAGTGTTAATCACTGAGGCCCACAGAGCCAGGTTAAGGCTCCCATAGGGTTCAGTGTTAATCACTGAGGCCCACAGAGCCAGGTTAAGGTTCCCATAGGGTTCAGTGTTAATCACTGAGGCCCAGAGAGCCAGGATAACGCTCCCATAGGGTTCAGTGTTAATCACTGAGGCCCACAGAGTCAGGTTAAGGTTCCCATAGGGTTCAGTGTTAATCACTGAGGCCCACAGAGCCAGGATAAGGCTCCCATAGGGTTCAGTGTTAATCACTGAGGCCCACAGAGTCAGGATAAGACTCCCATAGGGTTCAGTGTTAATCACTGAGGCCCACAGAGTCAGGTTTAGGCTCCCATAGGGTTCAGTGTTAATCACTGCGGCCCACAGAGCCAGGTTAAGGTTCCCATAGGGTTCAGTGTTAATCACTGAGGCCCACAGAGCCAGGTTAAGGTTCCCATAGGGTTCAGTGTTAATCACTGAGGCCCACAGAGTCAGGTTTAGGCTCCCATAGGGTTCAGTGTTAATCACTGAGGCCCACAGAGTCAGGTTAAGGTTCCCGCAGGGTTCAGTGTTAATCACTGAGGCCCACAGAGCCAGGTTTAGGCTCCCATAGGGTTCAGTGTTGTTGCTTTGTGGCTGTGACCCAGTCCGCTGTGGTTATTTGGATGCCCATCTTGAGTGGTCGTGTCGGTTTGTAGTAATCCCGAAGGATTACTATCCCCCTGTCACTGTGTAATTGGGTTATATTTGCTTTAGCATGTAGCTGGCTCGATTTACCGTTAATGATGATTACCTTTTCATTTTGTACGGTAAAAGATTCAACGTGAATTAATCGGTTGGCTCCATGTGGCTTCTTTTTCGCTACTCGCATGGCCTCCAGCAGTATCGCTGTTTCACTTAATCCAGACAAAGGTCCCCCATGTAGCCTCAACAGACTTATTCGGGCAAGTGCTGCTAGTAGCGAGCAGCAGCGCTTATGAAGGCTCGCACTGTGGCACAAGAGGGTGGGTGGAAAACAATGTGCCCGGCCGCCTTTGTCTCCCTAGTGCCGATGTTTAATACACACCAACACCAGATACTCATTTTATGCCATGGGGAGCCCCATGACCAGTTCAGATAATTTCTATCACTGGTGTTGATGGCCGTGAGCGGGAATCGAACTTGGGTCGCTGAGTTCGTCACGCAGCAGTGCGCTAACCACTGTGCCACCGCTCCTCGCTCACACAGTCGCAAAGACAAAGCTCCCCCAGGTAGCCTCTAGCAGGCTGTTGGGACAAGTGCTATTCGTGTTAGCAGTGCGCGAGCTATCCAATGTGCCCACTGCTGCGCCACCATTCCCCACTCAAAGGTTCCCTCGGTAGCTCGCACAAGGCTGTAGAAGCAAGTGCTGTTAGCGAGTAGCAGCGCCTGTGAAGGCCGGCACTGTGGTACACGACGGGTGCGTTGCCAGCACCACACCCAGCCGCATTTGTCCACCCAGTGGTGATGTTTACACACTGCAATATTTACTCATTTGAAGCGGAGTTTACCGCGACGATGCCCCGGACCAGTTCACATCATCGTCACTGGTGTTGGCCGTGAGCGGGAATCGAACCCGGGTGGGCCTGGGTTCATAGTACGCCGGTTCCATGTTAACGTTGCCCCATAGACTTTCTTTAGGAAACCGGTTCCCTATCTAATTAACATTGCCCCATGGTGGCGAGATGTTATCTCCCTCGCTTGGTATGCAGGAGGTCGCGGGTTCGACCCCGACGCTAACGACGCCTGTCGGAATATTTACTGTCTCCATCTCCCTTTTCCCGTAGTCACGTGGATTTTTCTCCTGGTCCTCCGGTTTTTTCCCTGCACCTTTATTAGAATTAACGTCGCCACGCATAGAGGAGCATTTGGCTGCAGTATACGGACGTCTGCTGTGACGGTGTGGGTGAGCTGATGTGGCTGAGGTTACACGAGGTCAGGAGAGGCGAGTGGTCAGGGTGGAAAATCCCTCAAAAAACGCCACCTTCTGGAAGCAACGGTGCCCCTCCGTGTGGCCCCAGGTGAGGGCGTAGTCGGCTATGTATGATAGATGGCAGGTGTTGTCAACAAAAAATCCGGTTTAATACACATTTTCGAGATTCCGATTGGGCGACGCTGCACGTGCCAAGTTGATTGACAGGAGCCGAGAGGCAGCTAATTGGCTGCTAGGGAGACGGGCCGTAAGGGCGGGACTACATTTTAAGCGGGCGGGTACGGGGAGAGACGATCGACGGCCATCAGGACCAAGGGACTCCCGGAGAAGACCAACGATGAGTGCTTGGCGCGGGCTGTTCTGGGACCAAGACTGCAGCAGCACCGAGCTGTTGACGTGTGGGTGGAGGCTTCCACCAAGTCCACGGACCACCTTTTGAGTGCGGTTGTAAATGGAAACCAAGACGCTCCTGGTGGGTCCTGTGAATCCTTGAGGCAGCACACGACTCTGACCGCAGTTCCGTGTACCCTGGATGTAGGCTGCCTCATCCCGTCACCAAAGAGTGGAGTGTGCATGAGGGTTGGTACGACCGGTCGCCATGTTTTCTGTATATGTTTTATTACCACTGTGGTCTCTTATAATCAACACATAGAGGCGCTGTGTGGATGTTTGTTCGAGTTTCAAGGAGGCGGTAGTCGTCGGTATTCTGTGATTTGTCGATTTGCGGGGGTGCTTTGCGAGAGTTTTGAAAAGTCGGTTGTACTTGGTGTTCTGTAATTGTTGATGCACGGGGGCGCTGTGTAGATGTGTGAAGTTATTATCCACCACGTATTGATTCGCGTCTTTGGATAAAGTGTCTCAAGACATAGTTAATAAATTCTAAATCTCGTTAAGGTTCACTATATTCCGGGTTGAGTTAATGTCCAATTTTTTTAGGAAATTGCATGGAAGAGAAAATGGATCCGAACTCCTCTCTCTCTCTCTCTTTCTCCCATATTAATAAAAAAGAGCAACCCTCACACCCGCTAAATAAGTTAATCGACTTGCGACATGGACACTCGCTAAATAACTTAACCAACATGGACACTCACTAAATAACCTAACCAACATGGACACTCGCTAAATAACTTAACCAACATGGACACTCACTAAATAACCTAACCAACATGGACACTCACTAAATAACCTAACCAACATGGACACTCACTAAATAACCTAACCAACATGGACACTCACTAAATAACCTAACCAACATGGACACTCGCTAAATAACTTAACCAACATGGACACTCACTAAATAACC